CTTGATCACATAGAGGGGCATCGAGGTAGATCCTTCCAAAATCAAGGCCATCCTAGAAATGCCACCACCGAGGACTGAAAAGGAGGTGCGAGGCTTTCTAGGCAAAGTGCAATTCATAAGACGATTTATTTCAAAATTAACCTTGGCTTGTGAACCACTATTTGGTCTCCTGAAGAAAAGAAAGAAGTTCCGATGTGATGATCATTGTCAATTTGCTTTTGAGAAGATCAAGTTGTACCTTCATAATCCACCTGTGTTGTCGCTGTCAGGGCTAGGAAAGCCCTTGATTTTGTATCTGTCAGTAACAGACACCACAATGGGATACATGCTTGCTCAGGAATCTAAGGATAGGGTGGAGAAAGCCATCTACTACTTGAGCAAGAAAATGCTAGATTACGAGACCCGTTACACCCCGTTGGAGAAAGCTTGCTTAGCCTTAGTATGGCCTACCAATAAGTTAAGGCACTACTTGTTAGCTCACTCCGTAATTCTGGTTTCAAGATTAGATCCCATCAAATATCTCTTTGAGAAACCAGCGCTTATGGGTAGGCTAGCTCATTGGTTTCTTCTTCTCTCCGAATTTGATTTGAAGTATGTCACTCGCAAGTCGGTCAAGGGGAGAGCGGTAGCAGAGTTCCTAGCAGATCACCTAGTGGAATGGGATGACGTGGTAGAATACCTGTTCCCAGATAAAGCTATTTTGCAAGTTGAGGAAGAGATTTGGACAATGTACTTTGACAGAGCGTCTAGTCAATATGGTTATGGGATAGGTGTGTTGTTGATAGCACCCGACAATTCCCATATACCCTTAGCATTCAAACTCCAGTTCAAGGTATCCAATAACAAAGCAGAATACGAGGCGTGTATCGCTTGTTTGGAAGCCGCCCTGGAACTAGGGGCAAAAAGGTTGGACATAATCGAACCTAGTTGTGTCTCAAGCGAATGGAGACTGGAAGGTCAAAGAAGAAAAGATGAAAATTTATCACCAGACCCTTGATGTTCTGATTCCTAGGTTTAAAAAGCTGACTTTCACGCATCTATTAAGAGAGACCAACACATTCGCTGACGCCTTATCAATTCTATCTTCTATAATAGACATCCCGCTTGGAGTCCGGATGCATCCAATCATCATTGAGCAGAGGTATCGCCGGCCTACGAGACTATCGCCACAATAGATGAAGAACAAGATCAAAACCCTTGGTTCTATGATATCTGAAACTTCTTGGAAAATGAGGTTTATCCACCAGGGGCAAATACCAAAGACAAAAGGGCAATACGGCGAATGGCCGTTCAATTTATCATTTGCAGGGGTAAACTGTACAAGAGAGGTCATCTAGGAATGCACAAGTTGTGTGTTGAAGCGGAAGAATCAAAGCGCCTAATAGAGGCCATCCATGGGGAAGAGTGCGGAGCACACATGAACGGGGTAATGTTAGCCCAGAAGATTCTCAAGCAAGGTTACTACTGGTCTACTATGGAGGAGGATTGTATTAGTTTTGTTCGTCGATGCCATAAATGCCAAATTCATGCGAATCGTATGAACACCACGTCGTCGAAGCTGTACAACGTGACTTCACCATGGCCTTTCTCTGTCTGGGGAATCAACGTCATCGACGCAGTCACACTGAAAGGGTCGAATGGGCATGAACACATTCTGGTGGCAATTGATTACTTCACGAAGTGGGTGGAAGCTCAGTCCTACGCAGTGTTAAAAGCAGCGCATGTGGCAAAGTTCATCCGGGATAACATCATTTGCTGATACGGAGTCCCAAACGAGATCATTTCAGATAATGGTTCCCATTTCAAGAAAGAAGTGATTGACTTATTGAAGAAATACAACATGGCTTTTCGTAAGTCATCTACATACCGATCGCAAACCAACGGAGCTGTCGAGGCTGCCAACAAGAACATCAAGCATATTTTGCAGACTTACAAGGACTGGCCAGATAAATTGCCATTCGCACTCTAGGATATAGAACTTCAATCCAGACGTCTACATAGGAAACTCCTTACTCTCTTGTCTATGGGATGGAAGCTGTTCTGCCAATCGAAATAGAAGTTCCGTCGTTGCAGGTATAGCTGAGTGTCAGATAGTAGAGGCAGACTGGTAGCAGAGCAGGTTCGAAGAACTGATGCTATTTTATAAGGGAAGGCTGAAAGCATTGTACCATGTTCAGGATTATCAACGCAGGATTACTAAGGCTTTTAACAAGAAGGTTAAGTCCTGAAATCTCAAAGAAGGGTATTTGGTGCTGAAAGACAACCGAGCTCCCATCTATGACCCTAGGGGCAAGTTCAAACCTAATTGGACTGGTCCTTACATCATCAAAACCATTTGGTCAGGTGGAGCCGTTATTCTCATGGACCTGGATGGCCTAGAATTTTCCCAACCGATCAATATGGACAAGTTGAAGAAATACTATCGATGAGAGGCTCGCTAGGCCGAAAATCTGGAAGGGCGACCTAGGCAAAAGTTAGAGTACAAAAAATTAAAAATAAAGAAAAATTGAGCTCGCAAGGTTGAAAACCCTAAAGGGCGGCCTTGGCAAAAGTTAGAGCGCAAAAGGAGAGTGTTAATACTCGAGTAAACCTAAACTGAATTACGTAAGGCCTGATTTCCATCTTCGGGATACGTAAGCAACTTCATCTTGAAGTCCAGCAGTAAACACCTCCAACTCAACTGTCTTGTCCATGCGTCTGATCAGGTCATCTTTGTTTGTTCTTTATTTGAAAGTTCGGTTGTGATATTTACCTTGAGAGAAGAGCTGGTTACAGTGTTGAGCAGTGTTATTCAATCAAGGGGCAATCTGTGGTCTTTGGATTTGGGGTTGTACATCTCAAGGATTGATTATGTGCGTGTTAAGTGGTGATCTTTATCGAAGATGGTTTTGAAAATTTTTGATAAAAGTTTATTTTGTTCAAATTTTACCTTTTACAACTTAGACCATTTTTGGACCAAAAGGAAAACTTTCAGTGCTCACAACTTTAATTTCATTGATTTCAATACAAAGTTCTCCAACTCTCGATATAAATCAAAGTTGCTTTTATTACATTCACAAAGCTTGAAAGCTAAGATCAAAGCAATAAACTAGGGGCATAGACGAGTCAGGTGCTCCTGCGTCCCCCGCTTGTTCTTGTGAAAGTTTTTGATGCTAAGGTGGGCCCGGTTTGTGCTTAATCCTCGAGTCAAGTCAGGCACTCGCCAGAAAGGGCACAGCTAAAACTAGGGGTAGGAGCCAGAGGCTCTCTTGTCCTCCAAGCAGTGAGGTACCTAGCCAAATGTGAACCTCAGATAGGGAATGAAACCAGGTACTCTACCCCCTCCTCTGGGCAAGTCTAATCATGTCCAAACTGATGCTTGAACCGGAACAGAAAGTAGAATACACAGTATGTCAGGCCGATCAAATGAATGCCAGGGTGTCGAGTTATGTTATAGCTCATTTTGGTCAGATTAAGCCAGGGGAAACTCCAAGCAATGTCAGCAATAGACCTGTTGCACATCCAATGGCACCACCATCCCTTATTCGGAAAATCCACTAGCTGTTGGCAGAAAAAATATGCTCGAGCTGAGTATACGGGGAAAGAGTCCACTACCTTTAGCTTGTCCATAAGCCACACCTAGAGAGGGATGAAAGAAAAGAGAGATTAGAGAATAGAGAGATATACGCTGAGAGAAAAATGAGAAACGGGCTTTGAGAGAAAAATAGAGCATGAGTATCGAGAGATGTGAGAAACACATATTAGAAAGGGTGGAAAACATTACCTGAAGGAATAGTGGACTCCCTGTGAATTTGGTAATCTCTCGTCGATGAAAGGCATCTAAGCCCATCAAAGTGTTGGCCAGCACCAAGCCGATGCAACTCTTGCCCTCTTTCAAACCTTGGACCACTTCATAGCCGAATGCTAGATCTGCCAAAACTAGGGGAAAGAAGGAAATGTGCTAGCATAAACAAGCAAAGGGTGTGTTGCTGAAAACCCCGCCAAAGAAGGTCGCCGCAGTTACCAACGTCAGAAAATCGATGAATCAAACTGGGAATATCGAGCTCTCCATTGTGAACCAAAGATCGAGCCTCATAAAGAGTGAGCCCGCACATCCGTCCTAAAGCTTGGATATGGCCGAAATGAGGCTGAGGTATGATTTCCTCATCGCATCGAGATTTCATTAACGCCTGAAATTCTTCGATTCTTGGGCATATCTCTTGTCTCCTGAAACTAAAGACATGTGTAATCGGGTTCCAGCATCTAGCTGCAGCATGAAGGAACGAAAAACAAAGCAAAGAACGCTTAGCGGGAAAAGTGCATTTATGCCAAAACCCCAGAAATTCACCTTTTTCCGAGCCATCTAAAGTTGTAATTCAATCCGAGAGTTTTTTGATGAAAAATGGCTCAATTTGTGAAGAATTTGTAGCTGAAATAAAGAAATCATGTAGCTCAACCATTTGTAAAAGATAAGGCAATGGGTGGAAGCCAAGTGTCAACAGTCTGGAGGTCCTTCACATTGATGGCTAACAGGTGGCCGGCCGGTAGCCGGTAAGCCCCATTGGTGGCCAATAAAGTACATTGGTGGCCGGCTGACCATCTCTCATGGCCGGCAACCTCTGTTTGTGGCCGGCAGTCTCTCACTCCAACCTAATGTCCTTTTTTGTGCTATAGAATGTTGAAAGCATGTGTTTTGTTTTAGTCTTCGAGTGTCTTGAGGTCTTGTCTTGAGTCCTTTTGGTTTTTAGCAAGTTTGTTGAGTTTGTATTTATGTTGTTTTGTTTTGTTTACCGAGTTGCAGTTGTGTTGTCTTGTTTTGTTTATCGAGTTGTATGTTGTTTTGTTTGTCAAGTTGTATATTGCTTTGTTTGTATTTCAGTTGTTGGTCGGTTCATTACCCGATTAATTTTTTTATTTCAATCAAGGGTGCTCTTGGCCGATTCAATTCCATGTCCATTTCATGCTATATGGTGTTCATGATGCAAAATACAACATTTTTTCATAAAAACTATTTTCATTCCGATCATGCCTGTTTTTAGAAAAGGCGAGTGCAAGTTTTTAAAGCAAATAAAACCTGTCTGAGGGTACAATGTGCTAATGCTATAAAAGAAAAGAAACTAAACAAAAATACAAAAATCAGCGCTAGTCGTCTCAAGCTCGATAGGCCCTCTTCGTCCTTTTTCTCAGAGGAGAAGACTTTGGGGCACTGTCTCTGTCAGCGTCGCTATCTGAATCTGAACCAGAACCCAAGCTGGCGTCATCTCCGCTCTTTGCTCCAGTGCCCTCCTTGGCATCATCATCTCCACTCTCAGATGACTCTGAATGCTAACTCACTCCCTCCTCAAAGTCGCTCATCTCTGCATCATCATCACTCAAAATGGGCTCTGAAGGACCGCTCTTGGCTCGGATGCCCCTAGCTCTGCCTCGGCTACGTGCTGGAGTTTGTCTCTCTTTCCTCCCTACTGTCGGAGGAGGTACTGTCGGTGCAGGTGCTGCAGCTGTCACTAGTGTCATCAATATGGGTGGAATCTGAAAAAGTAGTTGTCGCCTATCAGTTATGATATATATATCAGATACAAGCATGATGTGCAGAATGAGTGTATGCAGAAGTCAAATACAGTGTATAAGTACAGTATGTGAGTACAATGTGTGAATGTAGTGTATCAGATGCAGTGTATCAATGTAGTTTGGGAAGTTTTTCAGTTGAAATGTCAATGTCAGTGTGTCAGTGGAAATTTGATGCCTGGAATGTAAAATTGAAGAAATTACCTGAACACCGTAGTGGCTGAGCAGCGCCTCTCTCCTCTGTACCATCCCCATCAGGGAGGTTATCAGCTTGAGAGCGCCTCCTATATACTCGATAGATGCCTGTAAATGCAGTTTGAATGATTAGTATCTGCAAATGAACATATCTAAAATGAAATGTGGCGTGCAAATGTAAAGTGTGGTTCATACCTGAGTCGAGCCTCGAACCCCGACAAGCTCGTGACCAGCCACCGCAGGCTCAATTAGAACTTGGTAGACGTCCCCAGTGTGCCGCCAGCAAGTCAACGTGGTAGGAAGCTCTGGCCAATCAGTCCTCTGCCTCGCCCAGGAAGCCCCTCTGTCACGAGTCCTACTCGCCCGGGTCACTCTAGGCCTTTCTCTCACAACAGGAGCTCTTGCCTCCTCGTCTCCATGAATGCCAGTCAGAAGCGGCATCAAATATGTCTGGATGAAGACTGCATAGTCACCCTCCACTCGGAAGTAGTCGGCGTCCAGGCCTACCTGTAGCTCGACTTTTTCGCGCCCCCTTTCGGAGAGCTCAAATTGGTCCTACACACTACAACAAAATTGAATTTTTATGGTTTGCAATGCATGCCATAAAAACTCTTTCACGGCATGCACACAAATGCTGTTATATGACATGCTGTGGAAAGTTAAGCGTTATTTACGGCATGCAAGTAAAGTTGTAAAAACTAATAAATTAAATATTAATTACATGCTTTGTATGTCGTACATAATTTTTTACGACATTTTTCTCATGCCATAAATCATCATACTTTCCATGGCATAATTTTGCATGCCGTAAAAGGTTATTTGAATATATTTATAGCATACTTTGTATGCCGTATATAATATTTTACGACATTTTCTTGCATGTCATAAATCATCACACTTTTCACGACATAATTTTGTATGTCGTAGAAGGTCATTTTTAATATATTTATGACATACTTTGTATGCCGTATATAATCTTTTACGGCATTTTCTTGCATGTCATAAATCGTTACACTTTTTATGATATAATTTTATATGTCTTAGAAGGTTATTTTTAAAATATAATATATATATATATATATACAGGAATATAACATTGCCTAACAGTATGCAAACAATAGCTTATAAAATGCAACCTGTGAACAAACCAAGCAGAAGCAACAACTATGAAGTCAGTAAAAAAAAATCTAATATCCATACACCAAACAACCTGCATACTAACTTCCATCCTCAACATCTATCATATCAAGCTGAAAACAACCTCAAACATACAAACCAAGAAAAATATCCAAATCATAAGATTCACTAATCTCTAAAATATGACCCTAAACAAGCTGATAACAACCTCAAACATACAAACCAAGAAAGTGATACATCATGAAGCTATAGAAATCCCTATCATCCATGAAGGGTACAATTTTAGAGATAAAATTGCATTCCCTAGGATAATATTGAGATGTCTATTTTTTATTTTTTTTTAATTATTTACATATTTTTGAACAAAATCTCAAACTTTCATTACCTTGACAGCTTGTTGCCTGGTAATGTAATTGGTAGACTCCAGCAGCTTTGAGTTATACTCTGCAAAAACTAGCAGCATAAATTATGGAGAATATCAAGTTGAGTCTCTTTACTGAAAAAATAATATTGTTAATTGGTCATATCTTTGTACCACATGCATTCATATGGTCTTCGAGTCAAAATCCAATTAATTTCCGAAAGCAGCTGAAGCAACTGAAGTAAAGGGGAAAAATCTTAATTTTGTGAACTGCAACTAAAAGAATGAGGTATAGATGAAAGGATGAAAGCATCACTAACTTAATGGAAAATAAGCATAATACATGATTTTCAGAAGGAATGAGAGAAAACTGAGAAAAGAAGAGCCATCAAATCAATCCACAAAGTTATGTCTTCACACAAGGCCACAAATATATAACAACATAGAGAATTCCATATTTGAGGTAAGATAGCTAAAGCATGTAACCTGGGTATGAAGCTTTGCATTCATTGAGTGGTATAAAAACTTACAAGGGTTTTCAGGAAGATTACAAGAAAGAAATTTATCCAAAACTTTTCTAATCAAAATTCACATAAAATAAATAAATAAAGAGAGAGATTTCACCTTATAAGTCATAATGAGATTCTACAAATTGTGGATGTCCAACACAAAGTGATGGATGATGATGACACATTCACAGAGTTCCCTGTAGCAAGGCACTATATCCAAATTCAAAAGACCCAGTCATAAAGATGTTGGTCTAATATTAATGTTCAAACAGAGTCCCTGGTATTCTAACAACAGTTCCCTAATAATATAGAAATAGGTATTCTAACACATTTAAAATGGACAACCTTCAATCATCAAATGCAATTATAGGAATTCAACAACAATGTCAAAGCACAAATGACCTTCAATATTAAGAGATCAACACCCTTGAATTTCCAAAATAAGAATCAATACCGCAAAACGCGATAACTGAATTCCATTAGTGTTCCATCTAACCCCCATTGCTTTGCAAACCATACAAGACAGTGTTGGAGGCAGCTCACAGTCATGGAATTTTTAACATCTAAATGTTAATTCCTTTTTATTTTTATTTTTTTATGTTTTTGGAATTTGATAGTTTGGACTTTTGAGTTAATCTGTCACCCTTCCAAGTCTTCCTAGGTCTATAGCTTCAGCAATTGTTTATTTATAGTGCAGGTTTTTTCTCGTACTTCTCTGAGCTTTATAATGGGCTCTGTACTACGCTCATGTAAGACTTCATCATTCTACCGCCACCATCTCTATCTTTAATATGAATTGATGTTAAACAAATCCCTCTCTCTTTTAGTTACAATTTTGAAATGGGCTATTCAAAGTAACTAAATGAAAAGGAAGGTATTATCTTGTTGACCTCAATGAGTTGATAAAAGCCTAGTTGAGTTGAGTTTTTTGTAACTTGTGATCCCTTACTATAGTATAATCTCTCTTTCCTTCTCTTAGAGGCATAAATAATAATTAATTGTACTTACTAACTTAATCTAACCTATGCTAAAGTGCTTCCTATGTTACATGCATCAAGTACTGTGCCTTTAGCAGGTTGTGTTATTCATCATTTATGTCTCTGGTTGGATGCATTGGCCTGTGCACAAGTCATGCACTGATCAGTTCAAAATCTGTATTTCATCTAGTTTATGATAATTGTTTCCTGTTAATTTGTTTGGATAATTAGGGTCTTGTTAATCACTCAGCTTCTTTCAGTTGCGTCTTTTCTTCCAGTTTGCAACTGTTATTGTGCTGTTCATGAAATTTATCAATTGGCAATTTATTGTTCTGATCTATTTATTTCAATTTTTATGCATGAGGTTCGCAATTACAGCCCACCTCCTGATATTAACAATAGTATTAAGGTCAGTGTGGTACTACAATGTCTTTTACATTCGCACTAACTGATCTTTCCTGACCAGTGGCCATTCCGAAGGGTAGACAAGAGTCTATGGCTGGGATCAGGGTGCTTCTAGTGTTGGCCTATGCAATTATAGGGAGAAAAAGAAAGGAAAGGAAAAAAGAAAAAAAAGCAAAAAGAAAAAAAAGAGAGCATTATATTATCTACATTATGCCATGCTTCATATTCATGAGAAATTATGTATTAGATGGGGAAACATAAACAAAGTTAGCAACTCTAATTTCCAATTCTATATAATTTTAGTATATGTTTGTCTGAAGCATAACACAATCGCCAAATCCCAATAGGATTTTCTCAATCTCTAACCGTTTAACTAGAATATCTAGTTCATTGGAAAGAAAATAAAAATTTGTCATATCTACTAGAAATTTATAAATATTTAAGAACATCTAGATTTTTTTTGTATTATTTATAATTAGAATATAATTTCTCTAGAGAATAAGACAATTTGGGACAAAAACATGTATGGATCTAAAATGAGAGGGAGTGTGGCGTAAGTTTTTAAATATTTTTTTTTTACTTTTGAATAATTTTTTTTACATGATTAATAATTTGGACACAAAGAAGTTTATGATACCTTTAACTTCTTGTACCTATAGACCGCAGCCAGAATATTTAGTAGCTATCTTTTATATTCATGGATCCGCTTGACCTGTATGTCAAAGAGGCTATTTGGGTCAATGCTTACACCTGTCACTTGAAATATGAACTGAGCTAATCGCTGCTTGTTAGCCATCTTGGCTGATTCCCACTTAGCTTGGAAGTTTGCATCGTCTGCAAACTGTTGGAGAAAAAGGTTCAACAGTGACATTTATAACCATACAAAAAAATTCACTGACAGATGATTTTTCATAACTTGAGAATTATTATCTTTGTTTCAGTGAGGTTGAAAATTGGATGTGTATGTGTTTAATATAGTTTTCAAAACCCAGCTCAAGTTAGAACCCAAAATTTTCATTTTTTTTCTCAAACAAATATAAACAAATATATGGCCTGGTATTGCTCAAATTAAAACACATAAATAATAAGTCTCATATAAGTAGCTCCTACAATGCAATGGTTTCACAAATATGCTGATACAATCAAAAGTAACACATCTATTAACCAAAAAAAAAAGAAAGCAGAAAAAGCATAGAGACATCAGAAAGTGAAACTCTGATGAATTTCTCATTTGAGCATATAATCAAACACGTGGTAGACAAAAATTTTCACAAAGAGGAAGAAAACAAGGAGGAACATATAAGAGAACAAGAAGGAAGAAAACATACTTGGTGTTTCAGAAGGTAGAACATACACACACACACACACACACACACATATATATGTCTGTATATATATTGCGATTGCAAGACTACACCTCAATCTTCTACAAATATCACATACTGCCATCACCGTTTCACCATCAAATTCTTGGAACTCCCAAGTCAACAAACACATCTATCTGAAAAACTTTCACTGCTAAGTTGTTGTTTTTTGTCTCTTCACAAACGGTGGACCTATATAGCTCATTTACAACAATGGTGGAACTATAGCTTTCTTTCAACTCCATAGACAAGTCAAGCAATAAACAGATAGACCACACTCGTGATTCAAATTCAGATTTTTAACAACAAGAAAAGTACAAAGCTAAAGATACAATCAAATTGTGAATCAATAATTAAACAATAGAGCAAACAAAGATAAAAAAATACTCACAATGGAGATGTCACCGATCATAATCATGTATTTGAAACTCTCCTGCACCATTCGATGGATTGATTGATTGATTCATTAATTGAAGGAATGATCGATTGAGAACACAGAGAGAGGATGCGAGATCAAATGCAATCGAAAGAGAGAGAGAGAGAGAGAGAGAGAGAGAGAGAGAGAGAGAGAGAGAGAAATCACATATTGACATAGAAAATCAATTTTTGATATGGGAACGTCTTCTCATTGCCTTGAACCCTAACCAAACCAATCATTTAGAGTAGTTAAAGTTGGATTTTTTTATAAAATTATAAATATACTCAAATAAGTTTTAAAAAAAATTAGCGCACAAATATTTTTTACATTGTCCTCAATTAGAAAAATTTAAGGTGAGAAGCTTGGTTGGAAATTGTTAGTTTTTTATATTAAAAAAAATTGGATTGAATTTTTTTTTAATAGATGTTTTCACGACATGTTAATGTATGTCGTATAAAGTTTTAATATTTTTCAACATCGAATGTATGTCGTTTTAAGTGCAAATATTTTACGATATATTTTTATATGCCGTGAAAATATATATTTTTTATGGTATACTTTTGCATGCCATAAAAAAATAGATTGAACTTTTTTTTTTAAAGAAGTTTTCATGACATGTTAATGCATGTCGTGTAAAGTTATAATATTTTACAATATGAAATGTATGTCGTCTTAAGTGCAAATATTTACGACATAGTTTTGTAAGTCGTGAAAATATACATTTTTTTACGACATACTTTTGTATGCCATAAATATATGAATTAACGACTTACATGGTATGTATGTCATTATTG